TGATTTAATGAAGAAGATAACATTAATTGGTAAAAATATTAAAACCTTAAATGATATGATTAAATCCATTGATGACAAAATGAAACCAGTTGAACGCAATGAAGATAAAGAAAAAATCGAAAGGATATTTCAAGCAAAATCTATAGGAAGACCCAGTGGCGATTACCCTACAAAGCAAAAGAAATACTGTGATATGTTGAATACAGGAAAAATCAAACAACCTAAAAGCACCACTTTAGAATTTTACAAAATTTCAAAAAATGATGATGGAGTATATGTATTATTTGAATAATTAATATCTAAATAATTCTAATAAATGAATTTATTAGAATTATTTAGCAAGAAGACCTATACAAAATACCTAGCGAATTAATTTGTGAAATCTTAGTGAGTTTGACGGATTAAGGATTAACATAGCTTGATTTTTGGATTAACATAGCTTGATTTTTGGATTAACATAGCTTGATTTTTGGATTAACATAGCTTGATTTTTGGATTAACATGGCTTGATTTTTGGATTAACATGGCTTGATTTTTGGATTAACATGGCTTGATTTTTGGATTAACATGGCTTGATTTTTGGATTAACATGGCTTGTGAAATGTGGTGCTATAATTCTTAATCATACTATAATAATAACATTTATACCCTTATATGTTATAATTATAATGTAAAATGACTTAAAGGAATAAAGACTTAATATAATAATAGGAAAAATGCCAATGCTAGGAGTGACAGAAAAAGAGCTGGAACAGGATAGAAAGATAATATTGAGTTTCATTAAGGATAATCCCTATCCATCGTATAAACAAGTCATTGAAATAATTAAAAACGATAAAACAATGAAAGATATATATCCAGATATGTTCGCTGAGTATGGAGAACAAAATCATCAATGGATAAAAGAGATTTACGACAACATAATGAAAGAAGAACTCGTTAAACATAATGGTAATAGTATTAATGAAAGAGGAGGAATGACAACAATGCATTTTAATTATTATACTTTGGTATCAGTGTTGCGTTATTTAATACAACAAAGAGCACCAATGAAAGATTATGACGTTACCTTAATCTGGTATAATATCAGAAACATCTTAAGCAGTTCTTGGAACAACATAGGAGACTGGAAACACTGAAAACAGGTTTACTCATACTATGATTATCACATGTAAAATATTATATGTTATAATTGTAATATATTTATCGTTTGTAAAGATTGAATTATTATAAGTTGCTTATCTCTTTCAAAGTGCGTTGTTTAGACTTGGCATGCTTCTTCAATTTTTTCGTGCTTTGGCTGTTTGTTTTTGTTTTGTTTGATGCTCTTGTGATATTTTTTGTTGGTATGTTGCTTTGTTTTTTGTTGATGTGTGTTTTTGAGTTTGGGTTCTTTGATGATTTAGAGTGTTGCTGTTTTGTTGGTATGCTTGTTTGAATTATTTAATGTTGTATGCTGTGATTAAATATTGTTGTTGCTGGTTGTGATTATTTATTTTGTTTGCTTGTTGTTCTGGATTTTGTTTTCTGTTTGTTGTGTTGCTGTTGGAAAAAAAATAGTAGAAAGAATAATTCTTTGAATTCTCCTTTTACTATTTTTTCCCCCCCCCCCAGTATAGGTCCAGGTCTCGCTTATATCTAAAACCAGCACAGCTACTCCGCAGGTCTCAGGTAGACATAGCCTTTGAGCATAGGTGGTGCAGGTACACATCTGCCTGTGCTGATCCCCCTCTCTGTGTTGGTGTAGGTGTGTGTACAGGTACTCCTCCTGATAATCTTCCTGATGCTGACAGCAAATATAGATATATATATATATATATTATGTGTAAAAACATAGACATCTGCTCCGTTTACAGGGATCCTTATACCTCCCAACAAAGTACAGGGTCCCCCAGTATAGGTGTCCAGGTTGATACCGCCGGGTTCGGCAGCTCCATTTCTTCATGTACAGGTCTCGGGCAATCCCCCCCAAAAAGAATCCTACACCTACCGGTCTTACCCCCCAGCAAAGGTATAGGTGCCCCCTCTTCTTTGTGGTACTTTCCCCCCGCAAGAAAGACCGAAACACAATTCTCCCTGTCTTGGCGATTAGGTACATGTCGTATACCTATACCTCCCCCCATCTTAAACTAAGCTTTTAGTAAAGGTCTGTGTACAGGTGTCAGGTATACCTATACTGCTCGCCAAACCCAACGAACCTTAGTATACTTTGTGTACCTTCACCCGCAGTTAAGATATCTATACTCATAGGAACCGAAACCTCCCAGGTATGTCGCCACGGGCACACCTCAACACCCAGAGAAAAGGTCTAGGTGCACGTCTCTGCTTTCAGTGCACGTCCCAGGTGTCATACTCACCGTGCAAGTCTCAGGTCTAGTATCCTGGGTAATTACAGGTCCCAGGTTGCCTCCACCTCAGCAAAAGCAGCGCCTCAACAAGCCCGGTGTCCTATACTTGCGCTGGTAGAGGTACAGACCTCAACCATCCTCAACCCATCCAATACCTCCCATCCAAAGCTGTAGCTCCGGGTTTGGGTCCAACTATAATATACACTGGCACACGCCCGGTATAGGTTTAGGCGCAGGTCTCAGACATACCTACACTCTTGGCAGTACGTAGAGTATAGGTATAGCCCTTTAAACTGTAGGCGTCTCAAGCAAACCTGATTGTTTTCAGTGCAGGTATAGGCGCGTAGAAAATGAGGTATGTAGGCAAGAATAGGTATGGTCTCAGGCATAATTTACCTCCTTGACTGGTATACCTTTCTCTCCGGCTATACTTACACCCGACCGACACCAATACATCAGGCAAATGTTACTTGTCCGGTGTAGACAGTGGTTTCTTCCAAGGTACACATTCGGTATACCAATGCCCCCGGGAAGAAAACTGATACTTGTGGCCTCCCGGGCCCGTAACATAATTGTTCAGTGCGCCTCAACCACACCATACCTTGCCAGCACAGTTCCCAAAATGTTGCAGTGGTACTTGCCGACCGCAACGCTCCCAGTATGGGTATAGGTGCAGGTCAGTGCACCTCCACCTCCACTCTGGTACTTAGAGGCATAGTTTTAGCCAACCCCCCCCCAGAACTGCGAGGCTTCTCTAGTACACACCACATCTCGAGGACTTGAGTGTAGCGGGTAGTGAAAAGGTACAGGCAGAAGTACAAGAACAGATACCTAGACTGGGTGCAGAGGTATAGGTACAGGTACAGAGCCCGAAGACTGGACAGCCTGCACCAGGTATAGGTACAGGTACGGCCAGAGGGTACAATGCCTACCTTTCCTTACAACAGATACTTGCACGTGTGGTAGCACAGGAGCCCGACAGGGATGCAGAGGTATAAATACAAGTACACAACCAGCTTAGACACTTGTACCTGCACTCCAAGAGTTTAGGAAAAGGTATCTCCCACCGTGATTGGCGTTTTGGGCGCTGCTCACTGGGTCGCGCTGGAGTCTTACTGCTGACGAGCAAAGTGCACTTGGAGGCGGATGGAAATGCGGGCGGCCTCCGTGCACTTGCAAACAAATACATTCCTGGCTTTAAACACGGTCAGAGTATGTGTTAGACCTCCGGAATAATTAACAAGGAAGCCCAGGAACCAATATGGTCTCCCTACAAAGGGAGGGCCCAGTTGTTACCCCTTCGCATGATGTTCAGATAGGTGTGAGACCTTTGTTTTGGTGGACGTTCGAAGGGGGTCAAAAGGAAGAGCTATTGCAAAGGGCCTGCGCCACATGGGTAATGCATAGTAGGCTTTCCCAGACAACTTGCGTGCCTCCGAGCTGGCAAAGCGCCGCACTGGGCTCCAGCGAGATGTCCCACCTCTTATGTCAAGCAACTTGTGGTTTCAAGGATATCCCATGTTCATGACTGAACGTGTCACATGCTTCCTGCTAAAACAAGTGCACTATGTTTCTTTGCGTTTTGCCAATAATTGTCGAAGTCAGCCGTGACAACGCTTTTGCTGCAAGATCAAAGATCGCTTTTTGTTGCAGAAGCGGAAGAAAAGGTCACCCTGCCTTGACAGGATTACAGTCTCTTCTCCCCCGTGCAAAACTCCTCAGCGGCCGAACCTATCAAGCTGACTGGCCGAGATGATTCCGCCCAGCTTTTGCTGAGTCCTGGCACCAAAAACCATGTCTTTTGGAACTTCATGGCCCTTTCCAATGGCGGCAGTCCAGCAATTGCATGCGATGGCGAGAAAGCGCCTGGATGGTGCAACCAAACCAGAACCTTCTTGATCCATTCCAACACGCGATGGATCCATCGGGTCGAGGCCAAGGCAGGGGGATGACTACCGTCACCTTTCTTGGACAGAGGAGCATTCCTCAGGTTGCAGGATGGGCATCGCAGAACTGGTCATGTTTACAACCATGGATGGAACCTTGCGTTAGACGCTGGCTTTGGGTGCAAGTGCGAGCGAATGTAGCGTTGACGTCAAGCCACAGATTTGTTAGGATTCCGTTCAAAAAGAGCACAGGGCAATTGGCTGCTTGTCAGGTCCTGTTCCGCTATTGGGGCATGTGTCAAAATAGGGGATGGCGTTCCTCTCGTTTTCAATTTAAACCAACCTGAAGAAGGGTACCTTCAGAAAATGCACACGCACACACCCATTTGTGTGCAGGCGCTGTCAAGCTCGCATCAACTTTTTGAAGGATCGACTAAGATAGTCGTTGTCTATACTATTATTTGTTCAGCCACGGTTGTGTAGTTGCAGTTCGAGGATCATGTTGGTGCTATTCAACGATTTGCGGCTTCAATTCCACTTTTGCGCTATCGGGGGCAGGAAAGCAACGAATTCGGGCAAGCAATGTATCGCTGTGGCATTTCCCCACCCTTCTTCCGGGGCAACGCGGAAGCTTCCATGACCCTTTCCCGAAAAGAAAAGCTTTGGAAGTTTCCGTTGGTAGCCTGTGAGACAGAGAGAGAGAGAGGGGGTAAGACAGCAACTGGTCGGTGGACCAAGCGTATTCCACAAACCTGTGAGGTCACACATGACCGAGTTGGGCTTGCGGCCGGACGCCTGGAGGGCTTTAGGGGTTCGATTGATAAGAGGGTCAACAGGAGACAGTTCAGGGCACGCACCGTCATCCTAATTCCGAGCCAACCCTGAGCCACCCCAATTCCAGACGTTTGTAGCTTGACACAGCAGAGATTTGTCGGTGAGTGGGTGACACCTATGCGGGCCAAGGTATTGCCAGTAGGGCGCCAGGGAAAAGCAGACGAGCAGGGGATGCCCATTTCAGCACAAATCCAACTCCAAGCAGTTAAGCTTCTGCCATGTTTCGGACGTCCATGGTACCGCAGGTTGGCGTCAACGTGCAGGGAGAGTTCAAGCAATGCGGCGGGGTTTTGTAGCCAATGTAGCTCCTCATGAAGACCATGCTTTGTTTTCTATCAGGGCTATGCTTGCTGGGCGATTTGAAGCTGCTGGCTTTGATGAAGTCTTGTGGGTGTCATTGCAGCTGTTCGCCAGCCAGCTGTTCACCAGCCAGCTGTTCACCGGCTGTCAACATGGTGCCAGTATTTCACTCTTGCCCTGCTTGCATATCTAGTCTCTCTGGGAGGGACATGGGGTCCTTTTTAAGGAAATACGTTTTGGCCGTGAGGCATATAGTTGGATTGCTGAAACATGATGGACCCGCGTGAGCAGTGTGACAGTTGCCAGCGGGCCCCTCCTCTGCCACGGGTGGTTCTCATTTTGAACAAGATGCCAATACGCAATGCCTCTCAACTCAGGTTCCCCGCGAGCTTTTTCGAAGACTTTGAGAAGCGCTGGGTGCACTTGCCAGGTGGCCCAGCTTCGACCGCCAGCGAAAGAATGCAAGTTGTTCTTGACTGGGAGAGATGCAACCTGATAGCCAGCCTTTTCCCAGTCTCTGCAATTTGAAACTTTCCGGTATCCCTTAGTTGGTGGTTTGGATTGGTGGTTTGGCGATTTGAACCTGTGGTTCTTGTTGATGGTAGAGGAAACCAGCCCTGTGACCTCCAAACCAACGGGCTCCAAACCACAAGAAGAGGGAAGCTGAACAATTCCCGTTAACCACCCTTAACCACCAGGCGCCAAACCACCAATTAGTGGGAAGCTGATTTCAGTGAGTTCTTCGGAGAAGAAAAGCTTTAAGTTCCGTCCGAGGCCTGGCACCAAGGAGTCCGCTCAGCTCTTCCGAAGGCAAAGCTGTGTCGGTTTTTTGGATGTTTTCCGCCCAATAAAGGGGAGCCCTGAAAACGGGTGTTTTCCATGTGAAGGTCTTCCCTCTAGACATGGCCTTTAGAGTTTGCCCGGAGCGGAAGAAATGGGCATCTTTGTCCGCATGTGCCCCATCTTCAGAGCGATGTTTGCCGGATATGTTAAGTTTGCAGGTGACCTCAAAGGGGTTGGCGAACAATGGAGTGGAAAGGTATAGGTGTTTGGGTGTGTGTGCAAATAACAACTTGGTGCAGAATTCGCAAGATTCCAATCAGCAGTCAGCAATTGAAAGCAACGAAGGCAGCCAACACCTCGGCTTGGGATGACCCGGGATAGTTCTGCGCGTGTCCCGTGGCTGGACATTCTTTGCAAAACTTGTAGCGCCAGCCTTACCGAATGGCAATATCTCAGACGGGACAGTTGCACATGGTGTAGGTTCGCGACTTGACATCAGCTGCCCTCCCTGGAAGCGAGGCCGTTTTACAGAAGTCTTCCATTGGCCTGGCTTGCATATTCAACATAGGGGCCATTTGATGCTTCAAGCAGACCCAGAGAATTCCCCCTTTTGTCCTGTTTTCTGCGAAAAAGATCAGGTGGCCCTACTGGGGTCTTTATGTTGATTGTTTCTAGGGGTTGTCAAAGTCAGAAAATGGGGTTGTTTTCCTTTAACCCATGGGGGGTGACTTTGATCATGGTAAAATCATGAGGCCAGTCCTATCCCATGTGCCATGTGCCCAAGCGAGCCAGGCTTTGGGGCCTGAAGCAGGTGCTGGCGCATGCGGCCACCGACGGCTTCAAGGCGCGGGTGGGGAAGCCCCTCAGCCCGAATTCTCTTTCTGGGTACAAGCGGAATCATGGAGGCCCCTGATGTTGGTCCCAGTGGGTGCTTGAAATGGGTGAAGGAATCGGCTGAGATGCGTGGCACTTGTCATGTAACCGGAAGTGGGGCGCACAAAAAAGAATCAGGCCAGTAGGACATGTGGATCAAACATTTGGGCCACAATCGAAACCAGGATCATGGCGTGAGGTTGCGGGTTGGGATTGCCCATATGAGATGATATTGATTTGTGCACTCGGATCTGAAGTCTACGCATCACTTTTGCATTACCAATGATATGAGCGTCCCCGTGCCACTGCCATGTATGAAAGAGATCAGACGAGCGTATGACAAGTGCACCCGGATCAGGGTCACCTGTTTTCTTGTGTGCTGCACAACAGCATCAAGGGCTCAACAATGGAAAGCAGGAATTCTTCCGGGTCCTTATTCGGCTCATGAATTCGAACCCTGCGGCCCGTGTTCTTGTTGTTAAAAGGCAGTCACTTCCAAGGACCACATGGGGCCTGACTTGACGGGGCACAAGCTGCAAAGGCCCAACAGTCCGGTTGACCAGAACCCGCCTGGTGATGCCATGCACAGGGCTGCCAGAGCGAGGTGCCAACTGAACGCAGTAAGGGCCTTGATGTTTGGAGATGGACTAAGGGTGGTGCTCTGAAGCGAGGCTTCATGTTTGGAGCTTTCTGTCATGGACTGGATGAGAGCGGTCCCCTGAATCTTGAATCCTGGACTGGAGAGTTCTGAGGCTTACGAGTTTGGCATCCCGCGGCCGGATTATGTCAGTGTCCCCAGCATTGGGGGATGTGGCGCATTCGGCATGTCAAGCTGGTTGACCTTGGTGATAACAAATTTGTATTTGAGGTTCTAAGCAATTGGGAATTCCCCGGCAGAAATTTGGAGGCGTTGACATCTGATCCTTGTATTTTTATTCCAAGTGGCAGGAAGCCAGTACAGTAAGAGCAAGTTGTTCAAGTCTGCCAAGTCTACAAGCCGCTCATGTCTCTTATGACATGATCTCCTCCCTGCCAACATGTTGTGTTACAACCTGATGGCAGGTTCACCCCTTTTGCGCGATGCGTGGCAGAGCAAGCTGCAGGATAAGTCGCAGTATTAGACTGCCCGTTGTACGACTTCGAGGAACATATTTTGGGAATGTGTTCGCGTCCAGCTCAAATCCCAGCTCAAATCTACCGCCAGATTTGAGAGGGCAGTTGCCCAGCTGAGAAAACACCCACTGCCATCTTGCTGCTTTTCCCGCATGTACCAAACGAAGAACTATTTTGCTTTTGCTCCTTGTGAGAACTCGTAGGTTGCAACCAAAATGATTTGGTTTGTGGCCAGTTCAGATGTGCAAACTGGGCATGATGCTCTTGTTGGGAACCTTTTGGTGGATATCATTTGCATGGAGATCTGTGTTCACCGACCAATTTGAGATTCTTCCCAACAGTGTCCCCATGAAGATTCCTAGCCAACTAGCATCTGATATGAAGCTGAATGAGAAACCAGATCCGTTCAAGGGCCAGATATGATATTGCAGGGCCACTGAACAAAAAAGCAAAAAAATCCGAATTCACATTGCACAAAGTCCTGACGGCTTTGTTGCGTGTTTGGCGCGTTTGTTTGGAGGCAATCTCTTTGAGCAGAAAGTGTCGAGTTTGTTTCGTTTAGATCTACAACAGAGTGGAGCTGTTAAAGCAATGCAACTAGCTGAGCCCGGTGCTAGAAAGTACAGTCATGAGTCATCGGTGTGATGCGTCTCTGCACATATCTTCATTCTGACATCTAGTTCAGCTGCGAATCAAGGGTTGCAGAGTCGTTGGTTCTCCCTTTTCATCTGGATGTAAACCTATGAATTGATTAACTGGGTCTTACAAGCCAAATCCTGCTTCCACTGGGCATTGCCATTTGTTTGGAAGGCATGTAGCTCATGAGCGGCAAAGCCAGGTGATGTCCTTGGTTTGTTGCGCTGGGCAGAAGTTGAACCAGCTTACTACCTCAAGTTTGACTTTTCAGCTGAATGCTGATGGCACATTGCAATTCGCTGTTGCGCATCCTCACTATCCCAAGAGTGAAGGATTGAGCCAAACACAGCTACATGTTTTCTGGTTGTTTGGTTGTTTGTTGCAACTAGCTTACCGTGAGGCTTGCGGCTTGCTCATTCCACAGATGAACGGGGCCACTTCCGTTTGGGATTGACAGGGATTGGACATGCTTCAAAAATATCTTGCAGAACTGACAACTATGGCGAGGTCCATCCAGACAAAACTATTGCCATCCATCCCACTGGTTGGTATTTGTGGGATGGTTGCATGGTGGCTTAGTAGCGATTATGATGGTTGGGTGGTTGGGTAGTGCTGCAGGTAGTGTGTTCTGCTTGGGCCGGGTGGTTTGGTGGTGTGATTGGTTTGGTCGTGTGATTGGTTTGGTGTTTTATTTGTTTGCTGCCTTGCTTGTTTTGTTCCGTTTTCTTGGCTTCTGTCTTCGTCTACGTGTGTGCTATTTCATTTTTCTTTATTTCTGTCTTCCTTGTCCGTTGCCTGCCTGCCTGCCTCCTGCCTGCCGGCCTGCCTGCCTCGGCACGTCTTCGTGCGTGTTTGTCGGTTGGGTAGTTCTCTGTTATTTCCTTTCCTGTGTTGATCTTTGTTGCCTTTGGTTTGTTCTGCATTGTGTCGTTTCGTCGCATTGCTTCATGTTGTGATGATATGTTGTTGTTCGTCCTTTCGTGATATTTGCCTTCCTTTCCATCTTTCTTTCTTTCTGCTTACCTTTCCTTCTTCCGTCTTTGGTTATGTAAGCCTGAATTTCCGTCTTTCGTTCTTTCTTTCTTTTCTTCCTTCCCTCTTTCCCTCCTTCCCTCCTCATCTCCGCGATGCCTTTGTGCTGTTTTTCCTTGTTTGCTTCCTTGCCTCTCTGTTTGCTCGTTTCTTCGGTGGCCTCGCGGTTGGTTTGTTGGCTTTAGCACTCCGCCCGTCTTTAGGATGGGCCAGGCGTGCCGGCGGCGAAACGCGCGCCGGGGACCCGTGGATTCCCGAAACCCGCGTCGCTTTCTTGCGGCTGAGCTGATGCATGCTAGAGAAGTCAGAGTTGTGCGTAGGGACCCCCGAAACCGGTCTTTGAACCTGCAAGCCAGGTGGAGAATTCAAAAAGCAGGTTGTGGGGTTGGAAAAACAGGCAGCGAATGCTTGTTCAGTTTGACAATCCCGAGATCACGTCAGGCGAGATCACATCAGGCGAACTATAGACGGTTGGGGCGCAGAGCGTATGCTGTCAACACATCTTGAATGCACTGGCAGGAACGAATCAACGTGCGGGCAAAAAACTTTTGTTGCTGCGCAATCGGGGCCTCAACAGTCTCGGAATAGGTTGTTGACAAATGAGCCACTGTCACACTCATGCTGTTCTTCCTGAAGGCAAGAGAAGCAGATCCTGCTTCTCGGCGGATCTTGACAGAGGTATATTCTCATGTTGCCAAAGGGCACAGTTTCCATTGAAGTCACAGATTTTATTCATTTTTTTCGATTGTCCCATCTTGAAGGATGCCACATGCCAAAAGATGCCCTCCTTTTGTCAGGGGGTTTGGAGGGAGGCCAAACGGAAGATCCCATTTTGGGTTCCCGGCGATCCGGTGCGAAGTCCGTGTCTCGCGAGAGCCGAGGCTCCGCCGCAACCTGACCCTTGTGCAGAACCACGTACACCGCAGCCACGGAGGGCTTGGGCCTAAAGTCGGGGTTTTCAGACGTTCCCAAGACCACGGGTAGGAAGCTCCAACATCCACGGTAGGACCCCTTTTCCAAAGACCACGGGAAGGCAGCCCCAACCCCCCACTCCCCCCCTCCCCCCTCCCCCTTTGCAATTTTCCAAATGGACCCAGAGAACCACTAGGATGTACTAGGATGTGACTGGGAAGGTGAACCCGGAAACATGGCGGTCTGGAAAGTCCCCTCCAAGGCTGTAGGGAAGGGGCCGACAAGAATTGTTCCTAGCTGCGAAAGGTGAACAAAGATGTCGCGGGACAACTCCAAAGAAATTGGCCTTCGCCCAAGCCCATGGAGACTAGGCACCTGAAGCTTCAACATAGACGAGAAAACACGGGCAGCGTTTTGGGTCCCCAATGGATGCAAAACATGGTGCTAGTGCGATGTGTTATTCATGTGAGTCTTTTTCAGGGTCGTTTTGTTTTTGTTAGGGGGTGGCTAAGGAACAAGCTTTGGAAGCGCCCACAGAAGGATCCCCTTGACCTCTTTCGACGCGATACGCCTCTCTCAGTTTGCCTCGTCTCAGGCTCGCGCGATACTTGCACAGAGCCGCCCTTTTCTTCGGTATTCCTGCAGGCCGGGTGTTCTGCCACGGCCTGAAGAACAGGAGATTCGCTTTCTCTTGAAATTATCCTTGGAAACTGGGCCAGAAAAAGCGTTTACGGCTACATTAAACAACTGGGTTGGTTGATGGGAACCTTTTGGTTTTCTTGTTTCCTCTCTCTCTCTCTCTCTGTCTCTCTCTCTCTCCTCTCACCCAAGAAATTGTGGCATCGACTCGTCCCTCGAAAGAGCCGCGGCATTTGGGAAGGCATTTGGGAAGGCATGCAGTTGTGGGCTGTGTCACCACTTGTCTCAATTCGTTTCCTGCAAAAATGAAGACAACCTAAATCAACTACACAACCAATAGAAGAACTTGGGCCTTTCTCATGAAGTCATCCAAGAAGGAGTCAAGATAATGACACTCAGCTACATCTTAAAGGCACATTGCCTCTAAATGAACGCCGTGCTTGTGTGTGTGTGTGTGTGTTTCCTCTTTTGTTGTTGGGTCCGAGCAACATACTGACATGTATAGATATATACTGTAATATAACATAGAGAGCTCGTCACTTTGAGCGCGCGCTTTTGTCATTTAATTCTATTTTGGACAAGAGCATCCTGTGTCAATCCTAATTGAAATAGTTGGATAAATCTAATGTACACTCCATTCTGGAAGTATCATTATGATTAGATCATTTTCTTATCAAACTCGGGTTAAACTCCGATTGTATTGTAACGTTCCATTGGGACAGGAACCATATCTAGATTCTAAATTCAAGATATCATGTCCATGAGGGTTACCTAAATCCTACGTTTAGGATATAATTTCCAGTAGGGTTCGGAACAAACATTCCCTTATTGAGTCCAATCTTAATCCCATTCAAGCTCGAATTTTAACTTTGGAGAGCGGCCTTGGTGGAGATGTGACGGGAGTATGAACCATGCGACAACAGTATTTTACGGTGTTTTCTGACCATGGTAGTGCTGGGGCTAAAAATGCACGAATTTGGTACCTGTGAATTATTTCCTACGAAATATCTTTATCAAGTGCTACTCAATGTCTATCAGAAAATAAAAGTAATTTATTGAGGCAAGAACTCAATCTGAATTTCTATTTAGTTTAGAGGTTTAATAGTAATTGTAAACGCTTCGCGTTGCCCGCCTCGGCCCAGCCTAGTTTGAGGGAAGGGTCAGGAACACCGAAATCCAGTGTTGGGAAGGTCCGAATCCTACTGAAAGCTTGTGACCGCACCAGTTCGCCCGTGCAAGTTCGATGTTCGGAAGCCGTCCTGCTCGGAAGGTTTGAAATCCAAAACCAAGACTATCTCAGCTGCTCAGTGCCCTTGGAAAAAAAAGGACCTCTTTCTGGGGATGAGCATTTTTAGTGGGGCTTGGCCTCCATAAAAAGGGGAACAATAATTGGTGTCACTGAACAACCAAGACCAACTTTGGGTGTTTGGGCACCTCCATTTCACGTGGCTGGCGGCTTGCCATGACATACATTTCTTGCTCGGTTGCTCAGCCCAAGACAGGTACATGGTGGGAATACAAACCTCCATTTGCTTAAGTACCCCGGAAAAATATCCCCAATAGACACGCCAGCAAGCGGGCTGAGGGACTGGGCCTGAGGCTAGTCTCAGGCTGGCATACCTTGAGACGCCGAGGGGCCAGACACGAGCAGGAGGTCAAGGCCTGGTCAGCCTGGGCTGAGCTGCTTGGGCAGCCGGACTTGGTAGCTGGCGTAGCTTGAGACCAAGACTGGTCGTCGCCTGAGGCCAGTCTCAGGCACGTTAGACAAACCTGACCTTGGCACGCTGGGCTGAGCCTGCTGAAAAACTGGGAGCTGGGGCCGGCCTAGTGGCTGGCATGCCCGGGGCCTAGGCTGGGCTGAGTGGGTTGCTGGTTGGGCTGGGCCGAAGCTAGTCTCAGCCACGAGGCTGCGAAGCCATGGGTGGGTTGCTGGCTGCCGGGCAGCCGGACTACGCCGCTGGTTGCGCCTGGAACTTGGGCTGGGCGGGCTGGGCTGAGCTGTGCTTGGGCGGGTTGCTGGATGGGCAAGGCCTGTTTCATACACACTTGGGGCGAGTTGCTGGCTGGGCTGGGCCTTGGGGCCAGACACGTAAGACACGCCAGCAGGCGGGCTGAGGGACTGGGCCTGAGGCTAGTCTCGGGCTGGCATACTTTGAGACCAGGCTCAGACTGCGCCGAAGGGGCTGGCTGCTGGATGACTTGGGGCCAGACGCGAGCAGGAGGTCAAGGCCTGGCCAGCCTGGGCTGAGCTGCTTGGGCAGCCGGACTGAGGGGCTGGGGCACGGGCCTGACCTTGGCACGCTGGGCTGAGGCTGGCATGCCTGAGATGCGCCGGGCCTGGGCTGGGCAGGGTGGGGTGGGTTGCTGGATGGGCAAGGCCTGTTTCATACACACTTGGGCCTGAGGCTGGGTGGCGAGTTGCTGGCTGGGCTGGACACGTAAGACACGCCAGCAGGCGGGCTGAGGGACTGGGCCTGAGGCCAGTCTTGAGACCAGTGTCAGACTGCGCCGAAGGGGCTGGGCCTGCTGGATGACTTGGGGCCAGACGCGAGCAGCGTCAGACAGGCTTAGAAGCTGGCGTAGCTTGAGAGGCCTGAGGCCAGTCTCGGACACGTTAGACAAACCGACCTTGGCACACTGGGCTGAGCCTGTTGGCGCTGGCCTATGCTAGGCCTGTTTCGCCTGAGGCTGGGTGGGCTGGGCTGACAGGCCTGGCCAGCAGGCGGGCTGCTGGTTGGGCTGGGCCTGAGCCTAGTCTCAGACACGTCAGACAGGCCTGGCCAGCAGGAGGTCATGCTTTTCAGGACAAAAAAGTTTTTTGGTTGATTTCGCAATTGTCAGCACATTTTCGACAAAAATGGACCCATGGAGCTGGACGCCGACGAACCCCGAAAATTTCAAGGCCCGCCGGACAGGATTTTGGGCCAGCCGACATGGGTGGGGGGGGTGGGGGGGGGGCGGAAGATTCTCTTTGGAGAAGAGATCTGAGTGCCCTTGGCCCCTTTGGGGCCGAGGCGAATTATTCTATTTCAATTTAAATGGTATACAACATTCCTTTCCAATAGAATTGTCTTTTCAAATCAGATAACCTCTATCATAATTTATTCAGCAATTTGGGACCTCTGACGTGTTTCCGTATGAATAATACTTACTATATTTATCTGAAAGTTTCATGTTGCAGTATAATGTAAAACTATGTATTCCGTATAATATGAACATTAGCACAGGAATTCCTTTCCGACATAATATTCTTTATAAATCAAGTCAGTGAATATGTAAAACTGTACCAAGGCTTAAATGTGAACTACACCAGTGCACTTGAACCTGGAAGCTCTTGAACACAGGCGCAAATGCAAACAATTCAAACACCTCGGGAAAACCAAACAAAAAGGGAGGTCCAAAGAAGAGGGAATTGGTTGCATAGTGCATTCTGTAGATGGATTTCTCCCGGATTCACGGAACCCATCTCTAGCTTACTGTACTAAGCTTTGGATGAGAACTGCACAAGCGCACTTGGACACAGAAGCTCTTGCCCACAGGCCGGACATTGAATTTCAAAAAACAAGCGCGATAATTCAATCAAGCAACAAAAACACAACGTTCAGACCCATTGGGGGGAGGAGGGGCATGATCTAGGACACGGGCCTGATTTTCTCGTGTTTTATTTTGGAATTATCGAGGCTTTTTTAGCATTTTTTGGACTGCTATGAACAACCTCGAGACTTCCAACACCAAGAAACAAAAAGCTCAGACCCGGAGGGAGGGGGGTATGATCTGGGACATGGCCTGTTTTTTTGCTCTTTCTTTTTCTTCTTTTTTGTTTTCCTTTCTGGAATTCTCATGCATTTCACCCAACTGGTTGGTTTCTTCAAACTGCGGTGTTCATCGACATTTTGAGACACGCACGCATATACACACATACATACATACGCACTCGCAGCACCACCACGAAGAACTGCGACATGTTGATTTGAAACACTGAAGCACACCACACACACACAAGCGCGCACAATTAAACATACAGCCAGCTGGGTGCACATGGTTTGCAAGCATGGCACTAAAAGAATGGATCGTGTGGCAGCCCGAAACAAGCAAATACACCCCCCCAAAAAAAAACAGGCCCTCCATGTTGGTTGACTTCATGGTTTGTTGCTCTTAAGATGGTCCTGGTTTTGACACTCATGTGTATGTATATATATAATACATACTCTGCTAGATACTATATTATACTATATATTTGTCATCACATATTCTATTCTATTCTAGTATATGAAAATAAGCATCTGGAAGCTAATCATGGAAAATGTGCATCTGCATCTGCCTTTGCATCTGCATCTGGGACGGCAAGTTTATTTCTTTAGGCCAGTGCTGGGAAAACATCGAAGCTTGGCCACCGTGCAGCTAGTCGAACGGCGACAGCCTGTTCCCGGCGTTTGACTAGTTGAGCTACATTCATTTAGGGCTGTCGGAAATTTGGGGGAACCCACAAAGGCGAGTGGTTGACTTTTGCATCCCTTTCATCCCAAAAGGGGCACCTTGAAGGAAAGGCAGTGTCAAAATGAAGTGATATTGACCACGTCCAAGTGGTTGGTTGCCTTTTGGCTTCGTTTTAGAAGCCACCTCAGGAAGTCCGCAGCGAGAAGTCGTGATATTTTTATTGGGTTCAGGAAGAGGAGGCTTTGACATGAGTTGTAGGAGTGCATAGATGGCTATGTGAGTGAAGTGGGAAGCGGGAAATGGCTACACATCCTACGCAGGCATCCAGCATCCCCAACAAAACGTATCGCCTGGGGGCGGAACGATGCCCGTTAGGGTACGTACCTTGTCTCGCGTTCAAATGCTTTCCGCATCTGAGAAGGGTTGCGCATTCTCAGCGAGGATCATGGATGAAACTTGCCGGCGTTTTGCTCTTTGCATGGCTTTCTGGCCTCTGAACAGTTCGTGTGCAAACCGGCACCGCTGAAACGCACCTTGCTTGGCGAACTGCAGAAGCTATTGGGCGCAAGCCTCAACACGACTTTCAGCGACGGATATCTTGGCGCGGGCACCAATGAAGCGCAGCGAAGCGCAATCGTCGTTGTGAATGGCAGATCTCTGTGAACCAACAGCACCCTGAACTCGCATTGCATTCTTGGAGCAAGCATTGCCCGCTCTGAAACCTGCCTCGGCAAATTACAGCAAGCTTACAACGCCGGTTTGTAACGACCGCACCCGTGATTTCAATCTCCCAAGCACAGCTGGCCATGTCACACGGACGAGGCTCACCGAAAGGAAAGGAAGGGCAAGGGATCTCATGAATTCCTAGTTTTCGGTGGGTTGCTCTGCAGATCAAGAAGGACCCCCCAAAAGTACATTTGCAGCAGACGCTCCTCTTGAGGGGCCCCCTTTTCGGGTTCCATGTTAGTAGGAAAATCACGATCCTAGTGCTTCGGGCGAGGTCTCAACTCCTACACCACGCCCGCCTTCTCGACAGGCCGGGAGCTGGAGAGCGTGTTTTGCGTTGCCATGGCATGTCAGCATCAGGACACCACCAGCATCAGGCATGTCAGATTTATTTGGACAGGTTTGGAACTTGGACCATGCCTTTCGTAGAGAGACACACGCCCCCCGCCGGCCAACCCTGCGAAAGGAAGCACCCGGGGTCGAACCACCTGTGTCCGAGTGGCACCAGGCTTCGGATATCACTTCGACCCCAGCGACGCCATCATCTTGCAAGTCTCTGGCAACAAGTCGGCGCCTGAGCTCCAGGCCATTTGTTTGCCGAAAAGGATCTGGCTGAGAGGCAACACTTGCCTCAAGCACGCTGCATGTTGGCACACACACACACACATGTTGAGCTTTTCTGTTCGTCCATTGAGTGGAAGACTGGGCGACCGGTTTGGGTCGTTCTGTTCTTTGCCTTGGAGCTCGCTTTGGCGTAATTTCCGAGCGTCGTCCAGTAGACGGGATTCCGATTTGGTGTGGGACCCAGGTTTCCATCAGCTTACAAGCAACGTTTGAGAGCGCGAATTGTGGCTCTAATTGCTTTCATAGACAGTGGACCAAAGCCAAGACAACGATTTGATACCCCCAAGCAAGAGGCACCGCGCTTTATGCCGGGTGCCGGACTGCCCAGGAATATCGAATTCGTTCACAGTGGATTGATTTGTTCTTCTAGTGTTTCTTTCATTCGTGTCAGGGACTTCAGCAAGTACTTCGCAAGTGAGTAGGCGGCGCTACAACTTTCAGCAGCTTGAGCTTTTGAATTTGCGCGATGTATCAGCTGTGCTGAGCTTTCTTTGGTCTGGATCAACATGTTCGCAATGTGTCAAAGCCGGATGCAACTGTGGATCCAGGCTGAAACAGCAAGGGATCTACATGATCGAAGATAATTCAGATCGGATCCATAGCTGCGAAACCGTCACTCCAAACCGCCCCGAAAGGTACAACAAGGGCCAAAAGCCGTGACTTGGGGATCGGGGTTTGCTTGCCCCGGTATTTGAGCTTGGACCTCGCTGCGCTTCGCCAAAGATGATCACGTTGTTCAGCTCAAAACCTGGGTTGGTTTGAAGCCGGAACCAATGGCCGACCTGAGTTTGAAGGTCCTGGGAGCTCTGTGCCCGGCGGCTCACCAACAGCTTCAGCTTTGCGAACCTCACCTACAACCAGGCGAATGCGCCGGAAGTGCGACGGCACCCATTCAAATCCGCCCATGGGAATACCAGTGAATGCTCCTAGGCTCCTAGGCGTATAATGACCAAGAACCAAACAAGAAGAATAGATTCCACCAATTTCAGTCTGACCAGGGGCAGCGCTTCCGTGTTGTTTGCGCAGTCAGGTTCTTGAAACCGTTGGGTGTATGATTGTTCACTGCACGACGTTGGGCTCTGAAGTCTTGATCCGATTTGTTGTTCAATTTCTGACAGTCTGCTTTAGTGAGCTGTGACCTGCCAACGGCCGGAGTATGCATACAGGGTGACCGGGTGAGATATCTCGTCAGGCTGGACTTTGACGATACCTCTTAGCAAGCATTGGGGAGCTGTTAGGATCGTTTCTTTTGCCCAAAAAGCTCATGGCAAGCTGAAACCGCTGACTCAAGCGCATTTGGTGTTCAGCTTCGCTTCATGACTCGATTGGGCGCAGCGGTTGGTTCAGAAACTGGGTCTGAAACCGTTGGATGCGCAAACCGCGCTTTGGGACAGAGGGAAGGCGCTTCGGGGAGGCGACCGGGGAACAGGCTGGATGGGACCTCCCATCCTCAAAGGACTCAACCGTGGTGCCGAAATCTAGATTCTAGATCCCTGTCAGACCTTGGTAAACTTTTTAGGCCTCACGTTGGTTCAGTTCTTTCCGATTCTGGATCGTTACTATTGGCTTGTTGGATCCGAAACAGGTGTTGGGAACGGCCGTGGGCCGTTCCTTTGCTTCAATCATTCCAGGGGAAGCTTCTCCATTCTGTCCAGCGATCCTTCTTTTCAGGAAACCATCAAACACCTTTGGGGAAACAGCTGGTTTTTGAGAAGAACGATGGTGGAAAAAATGGAGAATCAACCCCTAGAATCATTCGGCAAGATTGAAGGGGGAAGGCTGAAACCAGCTTAGAGAGGTGGGGAAAAGTCGCTTCCCTGCAGGAACCCTACGGAGTGGATAGTAGGAGTTCTACAGGCAAGTAGGGGGGGAGGGCGGGCATGCCATTTCCTGAAGTGGTGGACGCTTGTTGTTTGCGCAGGCATCAGGACATTAGCTTTGATCCAATAGCTGAACGCATGAGAGAACTGCACACCTGTGCAGTCAAGCAAAAGGAGCTTCGCTGACAGTGGCAACGCCAGACAACTTCATTAGAAGCTCGTCACCTGAAAGACATCCTAGCAAGTACAAATTGAGGTGTAGATGTGGTCGGCACCGGCATGGTTGATTCAATAGTTTGCCACAGATATACCATGACAACCATCGCCGTGTGAAAAATAGGTGGCTCCCACTGGACAGCCCAAGCCAGGTGCCGGCTGGCGATGCGGACGTGGCGAACTGTACTGTAGTGGCTGCGGCCTGAGACACATCTCCAAAAAAAAAGACGCCATTTTGCCATTTCAAGCGGTGCCTTTTCTATCGGACCAACCAGAATCCGCCACGTTGAGGGGTAATGTTCAGGTGCACAACAGAGCAACCCCTGTTGAGACGTCATATTGTTTGGGAACGTATGTCTTGTTGATGGCGAATCATTTGCACTCCTCGTTTTGCAAGACTGTTGGCCAGAACAGGGCATATTGCGGGCGTAGACCTTTGCCAGAGTTCATCAACATGTGCAATGTTTCTTTGACGTCGAAGGCTTGCTTCCATGTCAGACTGCCAGCACAAGGCCACCAGCTGTTTGAGATGTGACATGCCCCTGACCTTTCGATTGTTTGCATCATCATCTTATGGGTCTGTTTCCTTTGGAGGGTAGCTTTTCTGGGTTTGCTATGAAGCGAACCAAGGGAGATCAACCCTTTGGGTCCATTTTGATCAAGCCCACCTTTCGCATATATGTGGTTTCATGGCGCTTGGACTGGCACAGGGCAATCTCACTTCCTCACTTGGCACAAAGGACTCCGCTTCTTCAGGGAGGACATGGGACAACCCAAGTCGTGGCCTCTTGGGCGAGCAATCCTTTTTTTTTCTTCCCCTATGCAAACTGGCTGTTTCAGGTAAAAATGGAGCCGGCTACTAAGCGGAGGACTAGGCAACGCTTGGATCGATCAACATCCGTAGCTTAGGTGCTGCAGGAAGGCGACGCGCTCTATTTGCCCATTGGCCAGGCGTGCGCGGAACTCCAATTCCGAAGGTCCAATGTGGGCACAGCGGAAAACCCGCAACACGCGCGCTTGTCGGAGAAGGCGATTCCAGGTGTGCAAGGATCATGTTTGACCTTCTGTGCGCATTGCAAACTATATGCAGTGACCGCAACGGTAACAGAGTTGGGTCGGCATGTGTTTTACTCGGAGATGGCTTGGCAGATGTTTGTATTCACGTGTTCACTCTGAAAGGCGGTTGATTCCAGTTGCTGCAGCAAACCTGTTTTTTGATCGTAGTACTAGCGGCTGGTGCTTGTGCATCAGCCCTCGAGCTGTGTACTTCTTCGTATCCTATGCTTGTTTTCGTGCGTTCCACCCTCGACTACTCGAACCAGCACCCAAATAGTCTATACTTGTTTACACGGGCGTTTCAGTCAAAGTGTCAAATTCGAACTGTTGTTGGTTTACCGTCTTTCAGATGAGCTTGGGTGCCTGTTGCGGGACAACCAGGTTCACAAGTCGCGGCAACATGCTGAGCGGGTGTTTTCATGCGCGCACGCTGCTCACCCCGTCAGATTCATCGAGCAAACTCGCCCCTGCCTCAGACTCACCGGACGGTGCAGGGCCAAACCACCCTCTTTTGAGGATTGTCCCCCCGGTACTTCGGAGGAAAAGGCCACTGCGCCGCTGCATCTGGGCTCTGCTTTACTTGAAGATCGTTTTAGTGGTAAACAACAACTGTTTGACCTATCCACTCAGCAAGCGAGAAAAAGGCATTCGATTCCAGACAGTTGCCTCAAGCCCTTGGCTGCTCCGGGAAAAAAGGTCTCTTGGCGAGGCAGAGCACTTGCCATATTGTGACATGCTTCAAAGCCAAGTAGACTTTGATTTGCTTCTTGCTGAAGCTTGCAGGAGCTCCTTACATTCCCAGTCTTTTTCGTGGAGTCGAAGAGGTGTTTCTTGGTTTGGCACTCGTCACAGCTTTGGCAAAGCTTTTCACTGGAGCCCGCCTTAGGTCTGCAGGCTTGTCAGTTCACCTGACCATGTCGCTGAACCGGCAGCGCGGCCCTGAGGCCGAAGGGGGTATCCAACTCGATCTGAGTAAGGGGGACTCTTTTTTTATTCTTCTTCTTCTTCTTATTTTTCTAGGGGCACTGTGGATAACCCCAAACCCTAAACCCTAAACCCTAAACCGGCCTAAACCCTAACCCACTAAAGATTGCAACTAAGCCAGTGATGATTTTAGGACTGTTTGCAAACTGCAGGGACAAATTTGCGCCGCATGTTAGGGAATCACCATTCATCGACGGTATTGGAGTCGATCAGCTGCAGCTGTGGTTGGGGTCGATCAGCGGCCTTTGTTTGGTCTTTGGACTGGGCACTATGTAAGCTTGCTTCCGGTACAATCAGAAGTGGCTGAAACTGCCCAAGCGCGCCAACCAGAGCACAGGTGCTGAACCTTTCTGTTGAGCTCAGGGTTGCACTTTCAGCCTTTCCGCAAAGATTTGAATCCTGAAATTTCCCCATTGAGTGATCTTGAGTGCATCCTTGTTGCGCCATCCATGGGGTGTTACAACGATGGGCATGACCTTTAATTGAGACCCTTGGGTGAGCATCGGATACTCATCACAAGTCATAGGCAAATCGAGTTGAGGTTCCAACTCGCATCCTCAGACGGGAACCCCTGTTGGGCCTGCTCAGGTTTATCAGCACCGCCGCGGTTCTTTTGAACGTGGCAGAGCAGTGGGGCGCTGAGAGCACACGTCACAAAATGGGGGGAAGGGTGGCAAGACTTCCAGATACATGCCTGAATGTATAATTGCTTAGATGCTGCATGCTGACGCGGAGCAGCTGGCCACCGGAAACCCGAACTGCCATGCGTGTGACCAAAAAAACTCCAAAACAATATGTGTTCAACGTTTTCGCCGCGTCGAGCAACAAACGCAAAGTCCGCTCTGATCGATCGACTGATGGATAGACGGCAGATCAGTAGAGAGATAATTAGATAGATGGATGGATAGCCTCCTAGATAATTTACGCAGACACATACAAGTCATACAAGCTTTTAGACAGTTTTGGTGCTAGGTGGAGGTGACAAGTTGGGTCCGGGCTTGGTTTTGGTTCTCAGCTTTCTACAATATGGAAAGGGACACCTGATGAAAAGAAAACGAAGCATACACTCCAAGTCGATGCTTGATCCATCAGCTTACACAAGGAGCACATGCTAGGAGCACGCTTATTGTTGAGAGTCTGAAGCGTAGTTGCTTCCTGGCCAATGGCACGGATCAGGATCAACCCCTCCAAGGAGGTGGGATTTGTGCGGGCCCGAGATTTGAAACGTTGTTCTTGCCCACCAAGTAGTTTGGGGTTGTTAAACTTAAAATGACATGCGCCTTGCCCGTCAATCTATTCTTCTTGTTTGTCATTGCTGACATGTTGTTCGCTTTGCCGTTTGCTGTTGCCCCTTATTGAAGTTTTAGCTATCGACATCTCGCAGAGGCGGACACCTCCTGGTGCGACGTGCCAAACATGGCCTCAGCAGTTTGTTGTCCGTCGCGTGGAGCAAGGCAAAGTTGAACTTCCAGGGAGGCGCTCGAACGGCAATTATGGTTTGCTTTGACCAGCATATCTCAAGACTTCCCAGGTTTTGTCGGAGGGTTGGTATTATTGAGGAATCCAGGAATGCTTTCAAGGATTGGATGGGTTGACTTTGAGGACGTCGCTTTGCAAAGTTGGGAAGGCAGTGGCCAAGTGCATCGCGAGCTGTAGATAGCCCTGATCATTCATAGTTTCCGTTCGTTGATTCTCCACCGACTTGCTTTTTGGGGCACTTAGAGAGAATCACCATGACTGATATATGCGCACCTAGCGCGCTCCTAGTCTGTCAACTCAGAGGCGGAAAGGGCCATGGCTCCTGCTTCTGGCGATCTCAAAGCGCCTGGACATGGGCAGATTTCGAGGTGAACGGTGCCACAAAGGAACCCTACGGATGTCTGACGTACATATAAAAATATAAGAACGACTGGATGCAGCAGCAACATCCCCAGCATCACCAGCAAGGTCTCTTTTTGTCGGGTACTTGAGTGAGCGGCCGAAGGGCATGCAGAAACATCCCCAACATCAGCGCACCATCAAGATTCGCGCATCTCTCTTACACTTGGAAAAGGGTATTTGTTGGTCGGCTTGTGGCGCCCAGGTTTCGCATTCCTTTCGGCTTAGAAGGCATAAACAATGTTGAAAAGAGGCAGCGGAAAGCTGACGTGCCAACAAGGGACGCAGGACAAATGTGAGAATTGGGGCACGAGGGGGCAGACGAAGCAGTTCGCAGGGAAAAGGTTCCCATGCTCAACTTGGTACCAATCTGACAGGTGACGTTTGTTGCTGGCCAACAATTGCAAGGAGCGAGGCGGCAAACATAATTTTTAGAAAGAGCGGATGCTTCGCTAGTTTGTTTCTTTCCAGCGTCAACTGCTAGGTTTGGTGCGGGTCATTCTAACAACTCTGGTCGATGTTTGATTTGTTGAAGGTTTCCAGTACCAGCTCACGGTTCAGATAGGTTGACTTAAGGCCTTGGGGGCTCGCGAAGTTTGTCGCTCGAAGGTAGGGACTCGTCCCTGCGATTAAGGCGCAGAAGAGCTTCATCACGTGGCTTCATGCCACTGCCACAGATGGCCTCGGTCCAAGCTTTGCACGGGCTGAATCTGTTTGCTGAGGTTTCACTGGGGAACTCTCACGCGCGTACCACTTGACAAGATCTTCTTCATTCCTAACAACAAGCATCCGCGTCAAACGAGATCGCTCTCAGGCTTCCCTATTTGGGCGATTTGGGCGTGTAGCTGTATCAGGAAGCTCGGAGCCAGTCCAACATGCGAGGGAAGCAACCCGACTATCAGCCCTTCATGCCTTGGAAGAGTTGTCCTACACCCGATCTATCAAAGTCCTGGGAAAGGGTCGTGTGCCGTATCACACTGGTCGCGCTGTGTTGTTCCCGCAGAAAGGCAATTGGTTGCCTTTGGGCGCTTGCTTTAGCAAAGGCAATTTTGCATGTTGCCCGTGGTGCCCATTTTCAACCGATGAACAGAGAACAATCACTGAATGGAGGTGATTGTCCCATAGTGGTTGGACCATAGCACAATGTGGCACACATCCATTCAGGCACATTGTCCTTTCTCCACGACGTGCCCAGCGCCTTTCGCTGTCGCAAAGGCGCGGCACGAGATCGCCTGAGCATGCGAATGCCTTTGGCAGCCTAAACTCCCTCATGCTGCTTCTTTGTGTATTTGGGTTGCTTGAACATTGTTCCTTTGCGTATTTGTTTGCTGCTTGGAGGGCCACTTGCTGTCTATGGCTGGCCTCATTTTTTATGTTGTGCAACTGAATTTGAACTCCCACATGCGCATCAGAGGCGTCCAGGGGTGGAGCTAGCTTGTGCAACCAGCTTGCAGCACGCAAGCGCAGCTGTTTGCTTCATGAGAGTCGCTCTCAACCGTGCTTGTTGTGACCGCGCAGTGTTCGATTTGCGGAAGCTCCGCGGAAGCGCGGCGGCAGCTTAGCTGAAACATAGCGGTGTGAGACGCGTCACAGGGACACCCCGCAATGCAAGCGACGTGGCGTCAAATTGAGCTTAAGGCTTAAGAGGGCCCGAAACTTGAACCTCCACCAGGAGAGCTTCACCGGAGCCATTGACCCAAGCGCACTGAGAAGTGAGAAAGCCACCACGCGGCAGCAGCCACTCCCAGCACCCAGAAAAGAGGGGAGTCTTCATACCATCAGTAGCAGTACCCGCCGGCTGGGTTGGCGCGTATCCGCCATGCGGCCGACTGAAAGCTGTAGAGACCCAGAGGCACCAATGCAGGCAGCCTTCATCACGACTCCAAGAAAACCCACAGTGACTGCCGGGCACAAACCAATGCACCAGGTAGAACATCCCAGACACGGCAGAAACGTGAAGACAGTCATCAAAATAGATACACATCTACATGGACCGCAAGCGGAAACGTTGCCCACAGCACCTTCACCAGAAAGGTGTTTAGAAGAACAAAGCTAGCCCAAAGGACAGGACATCTTACACGGGTATTACGGACTGAAAGGGCAGCGCCACCAAGCAGAAAAAGACCCGCATCAACACACGTCACCACCACGACCACAAAGAAGAGGCCGCAGAGAAGGTTGACGGAGCTGCCAGTCATGGGGCACTGAACCCGGACGGCTAAGCATAGCACGTGTTTAGATCCCCTGCTTTCAGAAGCAGACGTAAAGTGTTTTATCTTTTGCCTGCAGCGTGGAGCTGAAAAACCAGTCGAGGGTTCAGCCACCCGTACATGGTCGCTGAACCCTCAAGGAGGCGGAAGTCAGCGACGCCTCTCAGGGCACCCTTCGTCCGCGAGTTCGGGTTCCTTATTCTGGGGTTTCACTGCTAATGTTAGCTTTCCGAATCCTCGAACCCCCAGGAGAGAGGAAGCTGGAAATTGGCGTGCACCTCCCGCTCTGTGGGTGGATGGTTGGGTCGGTTGGGGCAGGTTGCCCTTGCCAGCTGATAGGCAAGAGCCGACTCTGCGCCCGGCATGGCTTCATGGCGAAAGCTTTGGTGGAGGAGGCGGGGCAGAGGGAGCATGCGACGTGGAGTGATGTTGGATGCATGGTGTGTGGCAAAGGCAGAGGGGCGCCACCTTGCCGAAAGAGGGTGGATTGCAGTTTTCCGAGAATGTTTGGAAATGGCGACTCCCTAAACAGTTGCTATCATAGGAATGCAAGGAGGAAACATTCTGCACAAGCACTGACCTCTGCCTCGCAGCAGAGAACGCAGGGACTGGGAAGACAAGGGGGTAAGATCTGGGAAGAAAGGTGACAGGTCGGGGAAGAGGCGTACATTCTCAAGTTCCTAGTGGGACCTCCGGAAAGGGCTTCTACGCTAGAGGAATGTGTCTCCACACAGAGCGTTGTTGTCACTCTTTCTCTCCAACTCGCGGAACCAGCCCAACCTCGACAGAGGTACAATCAAAACAAACCATCACACAGCCGCACACGCACAAGAGCAGGATGAGCTTGCCGGGGCCTCGGGATTCGGGCGAGCGGGCGCAGGCGCGAAGCATGGAATGATATGCCAGCCCCCATTTGGGCCACTATCAAAACCCGGGTAGCGGCCGCCTTCGTAACCATTTTCGTGGTTTTGGGTAGGCCATTCTGATTCCGGATTTTGATTATGACTCATTTTGCAGCTCCGTGCTAGTCACGCTTGTGCCAGGTTTACCCGTGTCAACCGTGCGCGTGTGATTTGTATGCTCGCAGTCAGAACTGATCAAGCAAGACGCCAACAAGTAGCTGAAACCGCTTGCATCCTCAGTGTCCCCAGTTTGGCTGAGGCTTGCAAGAGACTTCCCGTCCAACAGATGGATCAGAGTCTGCAGCGGCTCATGAAAGGATGTTCGGAGAAATGGAATGACCCCTCTGCATTTAGGAGTGTCGATTTAGAATTTGAGTCTCAGGTTTAGAGTTCGGACCTTTTATGGGGTTTGCTTGAAGGGAGCTAAAGTCAGCTCCCTTGTGCTGATTGATTGGGACCTGGGAGTGTCGACTCCTGGTAAATGAGCCCCAGTTTTCCCACAACGTTTATCAAGGCCTCCTTCCAGTCCTTGTGATTCTCAAACGGACTGGACTGGTGGCTTTTCAGCCCGAATAAAGAAAACATGCCGGCTCCAGGGTTGGGGTGAGGCTCAATCAACACCCGAATAATGAAGGATGGCAGGGGGCTAGCCTTGAATGTGTGCGTTCCACCCTCTTGACCACTATACCAGGGCTTGATTGTGACTTGCAAAGCCGCTTCCCTTTGAGTTTCATTCCGAACCCAAAAAGGATACCCTGCAAAAACAGCCCCCCGCCCCACTCAAATCACAAACCCACACCCAGTCACCCATTTCCCTCCACCCTCCGGGCCCTGAGGCGGCACTGCCGGAGCGCTGCGCGGCGGAGCTCTCCAGGGCTCTCCAGGTGCTGAATGCGCATCCGGATTCAGCGGCTCAGCGGAACTCCGCATCGGAACTCTCGCGCGTTTGGCAGCTGCAAATGACCATGCTAGAGAGTGAAGATCAGATCTATGTGTGAGTTTGAATACGTGTGCTGCATCTCCACATGGGGTGCGTATCTAAGAAGGTTGATCAAAAGGCCCTTGCAAGGATGTGTTCGGTGACCATTCGTGTTGATTGCCTGCCTGTGTTGGGAATGGTGCAAACCAATAACGTTGGCTGGGCTGTTTTGGAGCAAGTTTCGAAAAAGATCCGCGAAAGACCGGCGGAAGCCCGTGGCGCTTGTTGCAAGGTTCCGCGCTCCCCGGCAAGCGCAAGTGGCAAGGGCGAATGACGGAAGCTGCTTTCATTTATCGCCACTGCAAGCCTGCCAGCGCAAGTGAACTGTGGATACCGTGTTTGCAGGCAAAACTGCAGCGGCCGCATTGGCTCCAGAGCTCACGCTGTAAACAAGAGGGAGCGGCGATGGAGTCGCGAATAATTCGCGAAATATATTTTTTGTCGCGAAGATGGCGTTTTGCGGAGGCATGAATATTGATCAACTGCCATTTGCAGACCCCGCTCTCTTGCAGACAGAGAGATTCGCTTTGCTTGATCCTTGATTCTCTGCACCTTGCCTGGGCTTTTTGGAGCAGATTTGGCGAAAGATCCGCGAAAGACCGGCAAAAGCCCATGGAGTTTGTTGAAAGGTTCCGCACATCCCCAGCAAGCACGGGTGGCAAGGGCAAATGATGGTGACTGCTTTCACTTGACATAGTTGCAAGCGTGCCAGCTGCAGTGACTGTGTTTGCGAGGAAACTGCAGCTGCCACAGTATTTGGCTCCATCGCCAGGATGCAGACAAAAAGGGCGTGGCGTTGGAGTCGCGAAAGATTCGCGAAAGAGAGTTTGTTCTCGTGAAGATGTCTTGTCACGTGAGCAGGAATATCCGTCAACTGCTGTTTTGCTTGTGTTGTATGTGAGACTATAAAAAAAACAACGAGGCTGGCTGTTTATGATATGCCGACGATGGTTGAGCAGCACCCCTACACACACACACACCTTATAACGCTTTAGTTCGAGCTGGCGCGCACGCACGCACTCGCGCGCCCACGCCGCGCCACGCCACACCCACGCACCGCAAACCAACGGTTCAAACATCACCACACACGCACACACGCACACACGCACACACACGCACACGCGCACACGCACACACGCACACCCCCACACACACACACACACGCACACGCACACGCACACGCACACACGCACACATGCACACACGCACACACACACACACACACACACACGCACACACGCACACACGCACACACGCACACACGCACACACGCGCACACGCACACAGGCACACAGGCACACACGCACACACGCACACACGCACGCACGCACACACGCACACACGCACACACGCACACACGCACACACGCACACACGCACACACGCACACACGCACACACGCACACACGCACACACGCGCACACGCGCACACGCACACAGGCACACAGGCACACAGGCACACACGCACACACGCGCACACGCACACACGCACACACGCACACACGCACACACGCACACACGCACACACGCACACACGCACACACGCACACACATGCACACATGCACACATGCACACATGCACACACGCACACCTGCACACATGCACACACGCACACACGCACACACGCACACACGCACACATGCACACATGCACACATGCACACATGCACACACGCACACATGCACACATGCACACATGCGCACATGCACACATGCACACATGCACATGCACACATGCACACATGCACATACACATATACACACACACGCGCGTGCTTGCAGGACTGCCCACCTGCAGGCACCCACACGTGATCTCTCACACGCGCAGAGACACAGACGTGCAAGCGCATGCGCGCGCAGTTATACGCACGAAGACAATCGCACGAACGTGCGCAAGCGCGCACAGACGGAGACACAGACACAGACACAGACACAGACACACACGCAGAGACACACACCGACACACACGCAGACACTCACACACGCAGACACACACACAGCCACACACAGACACACACACAGAGGCACACAGACACAGACACACACACACACTCATGCACCCGCCTCACGTACGCATGCGCTTACGCACGCACACACGCACACACACACACACACCCTCACACCCACACACACACACGCACGCAGGCACACACACACACACCCACCCACCCACCGACCCGTGCGCACGCGCGCACGCACGCACCAACGCACGCACATGCCCGAACGCGTGAAGTCTTCCATGCAACCGCACACATGCACGCACACACAGACACACCCACGCCGCACCATTATACACAGACACACAGACAAACACAGACACACAGACACACAGACACACACGCACACAACCACGCGTGCCCGTGGCCGCGCGCCTGCACGCGCCTGCGCTCGTACCCGCACGCGCCCGCACCCGGACCCGCGCCCGCATGTGCACACACTCCGTCAGGTGTGCGCTGTAGGTTTGTGTCCTATGTCTGCTTTGTGGCATTGTTTGTGTTATTTGTGTTCAGGGTGTATATATATATATACATTTATATGATTGTGTTGTCTATGCTCTGTGTGTGTGGCTGATCTGTGGCTGTTGTTTGCATGGGTTATGCAATGTGAATGTCTACTTGTGCTTGATGTGTGGCGTCCTTTTGCCTCAACTAAGAACATGATCTGTATGTTTGCTGTAAGGAGCTTGCCTTTGTAAAATTAAAGCTCGCTCTCTCTCTCTCTCTCTCTCTGTTTGTGGCAGATGCTCTGTGTATGTGTGTGTGGTGTGGTGTGGTGTGGGCTTTTCCTTGTGTAGCATTGTGTGGGGCTTTCTGCGCGGTGTGGTGTGTGGTGTGTGTGTATGTGTGTTAGGGTGGGGTGGGCGGTGCGCATGGGCTGCGTGGGCGCATGTGCGCAAGTGAGCAAACGCACACGCGCACACACACACACACACATACGCAGACACTTTTTCCGACTGGAGGTGCATGAAAGCCTGCATGTTTGGGAGCTTTGACATGCAAAAGGAGCCTTTGGGCCAAAGCGCACGTGGGTTTGCGGGCCTTTGAGGCGCAGCCACTCACGATGAAGGTGCGTATCACCGGCAAAGAGGAGCCGGTGGTGGGCAAGATCACGGCCAAGCAGGCCGGATGCATGAGCTGCATAGCGAGCTCATGGGATACAACAAGCTAATGATGGTTTCCTGGCAGGTTTTTTTATTCAGGTTGATGAGCTTCGTAAGCGCAAATGGTTCATATTGCGTTGTTTCCCACAATGCACGCCAACGCTGCCGTTTGCGGCATTCAGGAATTGGATGCCGAACATGTTTCTTTGGGAGGCTTGGGTTTGGAGGGCCTGCTGACAGCATACGTTTGGTTTGTTCTGTTTCTGCTATCAAATGCAAATGTGGCCTTGCATGCTTCCTTCCCGACTGGCATGCACCCGGCAAGTTTGACCTTCATCTGGTTATCCACCAGCAGAGGCGAGACTGCTAAATGTCTTGTTGCGAGCCTGTGGGAGGCACAGGAGGCTCGATTAGGCAATGAACATCAGCAAATTCCCCATTGCCACAAGTTGTGGCCTGACCAAAGTTGCTCAACTTGTGGTGAGCACTACTTGTGACACGATTTTTGTGTTGTCTATGCTGCAGAAGCAGAAGGCAACAGCGGGGGAAGGTGAGACGAACGCGACAATTGTTTTGATTCAACTTCAATGGGCACAGCAGCTGAAAAGCTGGGTCTGTTTGTGAATCAGTTCCATCAAAAATCAGAAGCGCTGTGAGCTATTGGCACCCCTTTCAAGCTTGTTGCATTCCCTACTTCTGGGCGTAAACAACCACAACTCGCCTCATAGCTGTTTCATGGATGGGGGAAACGCGACCTTGTTTCAACAATGGTTGAAGCACGCAAAACAGAAGGGGTGGCATGTGGAAGTCATTCGAACTCTGTAGCAAACCATGTCTCTCTCACCCTGAGGCCTTGAGGTCTGGGGTTTGAGCTTGCTGCGGCGGGTGATCTCCTCAGGCCGCCACTTCGCCCCACTGGTCCACCAACAAGATCTACAGAAAGCACCACTCAGCTGCCGTTGAAAGAGGCTTTCTTTTGCGATACACAACTGGGGAACCCACATTTTTCAGAACCAGCCACCCGACTGTTGAAAACCCCTCACTTGAAAAAAAGAAGCACTCAGAGCGCTGTTGAACACCACAACTACGACTTGCAGGTCCTCGAGGGCATTTCCTCCCTGCTGAAGCCCGAGCCTTGTGGTCGCACAATCGTGGCGCGGATGCCGAGCAAGCGAGCCACCGGCGAGACGAAACGCCCAAAGAACGAGAGCAACGGGACCAATGGGCGTGGTCCGTGCGAATTGGTCCACCCAAAATGGTTGGCTTTCAGTTGACACATCAATTGCGGGTTGGGACCAATCAAATTGGTGCACCCAAATTGGTGGGTTCCCATTTGAAAGAAACGAGCGGGTGAAGGGGATACCTGGCATGGCCTTTTGGCCATCAGGAAAACCAAGTTGCCAGGAGGATTGGCCCCCACGTGTCTCTCGGGTAAGTGGTCCACTTTTCTAGCCGTTTGTCTACGGTTCATTCGGGGGTGTCTTTTTTGAGGGTAGCATTTTTGGATGTTTTAACCGGAAACCAAAAGGACCACCACCATTTTAGGTGGTCCCCTAAAAAGCGAGAGACCAGGATTGATTCCGCGGAAGTTCGGAATTGGACCCTGGATGGAATGGGGACCTGCAGAGTGCGAGGCTCAGAGCACTTTGGACCCCTGATGGAAGCTTTGGGTGGCCCATTCTGATGATGTGTAGATGCGTTCAGAACAGCTCTGCTGAGATCAGGTTGCCAGTAGCACATGACGACATGAATCAACAAGAAGGGAATCATAGTACTTTGTCGGATGTGGTAACGCCATGGAGAGATTTGTGCCATCCCTTGCGCTCCATTGCCCAAGAATCCAGGCCTGGCGCCAGTTGCTTGCACGCCAGCTGGCAGAGTATGCCGCCTGGGCCTCGGCGTGGATGGCATTTTTATGATTTGGCCTGGTGGCCTCTGAACGTGCGGACCCGTGGTTTGTTAGTTTGGTCCCCAGACATGAACAGTAACTGCTCAACAAGCCCAGTATGCTTAGAGAACCCGATGGCAAGGTCAGACGTCTTGCTCAGATGGCATGGAGTTGTTTGCCTGGCGCGAGCTGGTGCTTTTTCGGCGCGTCTTCAATCTGAAGCCAGAGGTTGCTGGGCGAGCCTGGGGGATAGAGGCTGTTGGCTCGACGCCTGCTGTGGGTCCGCAAAGGGTTGTGCGCAACTGAATCAACACTGGATGTGTTGTTCACTCACGAGGATATGGGTGCTGTGCACGACACGCTGGTTCGTATAGTAGGGAGCGTATTGCATTCCATTTGTTTTCAGATACCGTTGGTCGAATTGGACGGCTCAAAGTGCAACCCTTCCCTGTGCGCTGACGGAGCGCTCTTGGCTGAGGTGCCGGAGGAGGAAGAGGAGACGCAGACGTTGGTTGGCTTATGTCCAAAAGTCCAAGATACCCCATGATTCAATTATGCAACACCCCCAGCCATGCTTGATTTATGCTTTGCAGCAGTGTCCTTTTGCTGCTTGGAACGCTGGGGCGCCGCAAGCAGACCTGCAGGAACCAGAGGACCGTCATTCCGACAGCCCCGACCATCCCTCACTGAGAAACGTCACCACAGCGCCTGTTCCTCGCAGAAGGCTCAAGGCAGGCGCGGCATTGCAGAAGACGCCCAGCCGAAGAGCGGCTCGGCTGATCGACACTGGTGGCTGGGAACTCTCGAAAATAAACCCAAGGTGGACCAACATATCATTCAGACGAAACCCTGCTCTTACCTGACATGCAGAAAAGGGCCAAGCCGGTAGCATTTTGATCGGCACTGCTGCTGTTTTGTAGCTTCTTCTGTTTGATAGAGGGTGCAGCACTATTGCCCCTGTCTATCATATGTGTTTGGGGAACTCTTTCAACTTGTGTGCGTGTCTATGTGATGTCTTCTTTCGTTTCATACCGTGCTCGACAGAGTTAAGTTTCTCCAGCAGGTATCGACCTGTGCTGGCACTGTCATTACGCCTGAGCAGGCACGATATGCTGCCCAGGTCTCGCTTGCTCCTCTAGGCATTGCCTGTTATTACGTCACAGCCCGCCAAAGTCGAAAAGGTCCAGAAAAAAACGGAGTCCCCCCAAACCCTGAGAACTCCAGCCCTCGGTGTCCGCTCTTTGCTCCTCCTTGGCCACTAGGAACAAGAAGGCAGGGGAGTGCATATTACGGGTACTCTTGAGCCTTTGAAGTCGTAATCGCTTGTTGCAGAAATGAACAAGACATGTTCTGTTTCTGGCCAGCAGTTTTCTTTATTTTGGAAAGGTAACCCTTGAGACTACTTAGTATATATTGGCAAATGTATTGGTGATAGCTTTAGGCATTTTTAGAACATGTTGTTTGTTCATGTTTGGATTCTTTCGTCAGCAAACGGGTGTCTTTTGTTGAGGCGTTTTGCAGAGTGCCCCAAATGGCCAAACCTGCCTTTAAAATAGTATAGTATTGGCTGTGCGGTTGTTGATTCTCCGGCAGGAAGGCAGTGCAGTTGTGTTCAAGGTTGACAGAGCACGCGAGCACATGCCTGGGCTGCTTGTTTGGGGTCTAATGTTCATTCCCCAGCTTGCTGTGGTCAGAGTGGCATGCAGCAGTATCCATCAGTATTCGGCACGTTGGATATTCTAGCAAGTTGCTACTGATAAGTACCGCCAAGCCCATCAACGATCAGGGCTTAATTTGGTTGATGGCTCGGGCGCAGAGAAGAATCCGCACCCCGGAAGACCCCAACGTCAATCGGGGATAGTGGTCACGCCTTATGGATTTGGGTGACTATTGCAAGGATGCGTATTTTGCAAAAAAGTGGCCATCCGCCACGCCATACAGATGGATCTATTCCTATCCATGAATCACATTGCAACATTGTGAGTTGCTATTAATGGATGAGGACACACTTTGGGTTGGGCCATTTGTGTTGCCAGAACTAGTGGCCCCATCTTATCAAGGGCAACAAGGAACCGCTTGTGCCCGTGGGTCCCGAGCTCAAGAGAATATTTTACAAAGGCACAACAACATTTCGCCAACCCTGCCTGGCGGATGGTAACCCGGGTGTTATCTTGCGAAACCTCATTGAATTGATGCATGACTTTGCTGTGATCACAGTACGGGGACTCAACGATTGCGCATATTCATGCCTGTCTGACAGTTGTTTTTTGTGTGTTCCCTGTCAAATGGTTAAGTTGCGCTCCTGACGCCCACCCCTCATTGTTGATTCGTCCTGTGCTGTCGCTGTCATGTTTGCCTCCCTCCTAAGCCCAGCCTTCCCACCGATGCGGAAGGACACCTGAAAAGGCAACTTCGCTTTGCAATCCCACTACTGCAAGGATTTTCTCGCAAATGAGTCACGCCGAAGAACCATGGATCCCTTTCCAGGAAGTGTGTCGTCCAATCTGTGCACTGACAAGCTGAGGCCATGGTGGTTAAAGCCAAGGAGTCAAAGGATGTGGTCATGGCGCCTGTGAAGGCAGGGCCATTTATGACATATATGTATATATATATATATACACATGTGCGTGTAGATATATACATGTCTGTGTGTGCGTGTATATGTGCATACACTACATATATGAGGAACTGCCTGTATATACAGAAGACTACAGTCATGTAGCGCGGAAACATGTGTTGGGTAGCAGCATACTGAGCTAGGTGCAACACGAGGTTGGAACACCCCTAAAACGAAGTAGGGTCATGATATATGGGTGTTTGAGATCAAGCACATGTAGCGTTTTTCAAGGTCAATGAGTCTAAACGGGTGCAGGGTTGGAGAACAAGGTGGCAACACCCGACTGATTCAACTACGTAGCAAATCATTTCCGTAGCTTATATATATATATATATGTATAAACATATATATATATATATATTTGTGTGTGTGTGCTCAGTCCTCCCACCCCGCCCCCTGCCAAAAAACAACAAGCAAACCAAAAGAACTACTTGTAGGCTTTGAGGAGTGTTGTTCATGTGGATTGGTGCAATGTACTGGAATTCCTGAGAGGACGATGCCATTCTGGGACAAATGGAGCAGGCTGTTTTCTAGATACTTGTTGGAATTGCAGATGGAAATAGCTGGATGGCTGGGTAAGTGATCCCATTTTTCTCCAGATCAAACTGATCAAAACAACCATTTCAATCTGTGTGTACCGCTCACACAATGTCATTCTACTATCAGCTAGCTTTTCAGTCATTTGCCTACTATGTGGTTCCTGCAAAAGGGGGCCTTGTCTCAACAACTTTGGACAGCAGTATAGACGTATGCCATGGATGTTTTCAGAGGGGCAAAAGAGGATGGCGACATCCTTTCGCTGCATTCTGGATTCAGTATTTTCTGGCCTGTGAGTGGGCGCCTGGGCAAGAAGCATCGTTGAGTTCACAGCTTCAAGCTGAGCTCCCGAGTACTTGCCCATGCTGGCATTCAGTGCCATGCGCGAAAGGAGAGCAACCTTGTCTGGAAAGCCAACCACACCCGTGATCAAGGCTCTTTCATACGTGCCTCTTATCTCAGTTCTTTCATAGATCTTTAGGCGTCCGGGTCTTCGGAGATGGGTGTGTGAGAGCAACTTCCACGCAGCAGGGGTCTGGTCTTCTCCATTCAGGGCACCTTGTTGTTTGCCTCGCTCGATGCCAAACAGCGTCCCTTTGCTCTTTGACGGGTGCCTCCTTTGACAGAAAATTCCCCTGTGCAGATTGTGATGCAGTGCTTCTTTGGATTTTGTATTGTTCATTTCGACACTCTGCGCGCTAGTATCACAACATCAGTTATACATGATGCTGCTTGACCAAGGTGCTTGCTGACCTCCTAAAGCATTGTGTGAGTAGAGGACGATGCAGGACTTGACTCAGCTAGCTCACACCTCTTGTTTTGTTTGTCTTGTTCTTATGCCGGTTCTACGTCATTAAATTAAATCGGGATGGCTGCATTGGGAAGCAGTCGTCTTGAGAATATGAACGTGAAGCAGACGAGATGATGCAGGTAACATCAAGGGGGGAACCTTCTTAGAAGGGTTTGATAGAAAGGCTCTGAGAACTCCCATGTTCCTCCTTGATTCATGCATGTTCGCCTTTGCGCGCAGCAAGCATATGTTCTCGGCCCTGCTGTGGGTGCAAGCGCCTGACTCCCAAGCAGCTTTTTTGGGACTGGGCAATGCAGGAAGGAAAAGTGCGGCGAACCATCAGCAAGAGCTGCTTGGTTGCACTGGGCTTCGTGGACAGTTTGAATCGAGCGAAAAGTGGCGACGTGAAACCGCCGACTTTGCTCCATTCAAAGGACGTCGATCTCGACTCGCCACATTCTGGTGCAGGGACTTGACCTGAAAGCCGAAACATTGCCTGAGATCCCAACCTTCCACTTTCACTGGAGGCTTGTCGCCCTGTCAGATCCCAAAGGTCTCCCAAATCGCTCTGAGAGACCGTGAACACTCCGGGGGATCTAGCTTTTCTGTGCTTTTCCGCGAACAAGAATGCACACCTGTTTTTGGAGGACCCTTTCTGCAGCATGTCATGAGTTTCCATGAAAGGGCCTGGTGAAACTTGCTGCGATTGAGCTCGAGAAAAGCGAAAATCCAGCTCCGTGTTGGTGGGTTAATCGCATCAAACGCAGTGACAAGGGAAATGCACAGTTCTGTCTGCTGATGCATTTGACTTGGTTTTCACACGAGGGCATGGAGAGGGCTGTCGAAAGCTGATTGGTGCACACTGGACCTTAACTTTCAGATACTCGAACGAGCACGTTGATTCATGTTGACCCCGTGCATGATTATCGGTGGTGTTTCCCCCCAAAATGAAGGATCCCCAAATCTGGGCACACCCAAATCAGGCTGGTGGATTCTGAGGCGGTGTTCCCTAAAATGAGACGCACCCCACAAATCAGTCAGTCCTGAGTCCTGAGTTCCCTTTTCCGTCAGCAAGCTGCGGCCCCCGGCACAGATTTGAAGCAACGCGCCTTGTTTTTCGGCTCAAGGCAGCGTGTTAGCGAGTGTGGTGTGCACGTTCAGGCTACCGCCAAAATCTGTAGAGATGACGATAACCAACCTGCCAGTACAGATGCTGTGCGACTGTGGTGAAGGTGCCCGACTCGTACAAGACGGTGACGAGCCTATGATGTGCATGGATTTCAGGTTGTCGGTCAAGATCCCCCTCCTGCAACTATTGAAATCCTTGACCACGCTCAATGAGGCGCCTCCAGAGTCCAAGAATATAACTCAGGCAGTTCAAGCGGAGCAAGAATGGACCTGGGAGGATGGATTTCACCGTATGCCAGGATTCCAGGAGTACGCTTCACATTCCATGTGGACTCCATGTCCGGACATATCGTGCCTCGAGGACGAAGAGGGCTTGCAGGCCATTGGGTTCAGCCCACTTCCAGCACCTTGTCGCGTGGAGTTG